TAGTTGAAAGCTGGACCAGTAAAACCACACTGGTATAACCCGGACAGCATTCATTATAGACATACCAGATTCAAGTACGGATGACAGACCATGTGTCACATCAGCGAGGGTGGAGCGAGTCAAGCGCAACCAATCAGGAGGCAATTAACCTCCTGATATAAGGAGAGTCAGCGCTACAGGGCAGTGCGAAGTATTGCGCTCATGTTACGTAGCCTTACTAAGCAATTCTCTTGTCTCGTGTCTACCCGTTCTCCCGTACCTGATCTGTTTGCCTCCTGTCGATTCCTTACCTCTTCTCCTTCCTCCCACAGCCCAGATCCCGAACCTGACCCGCTTATCCCGCCGAGCCCGGCTCCTCGTGTCTCCCCTCACCTTTGTGGTCTTGTCTTGTCTTTCTTCGTCGGACGGATTTCCCCGGCAACGACCTCCTCTTCTGACCCACGACTACGAGTACTTCTAGCCTCCCACCGGACATCCCAGCACCCTTGCCTGTCCAGGGGCTCGGTCCCTAGCCTCGCTCCCTGCCCAGGTCCACCTGGGGAAGAGTCAGTGGACTTCCCCTCCTGCTCTGTCCGCGGGTGTGGCTCTCTATCTTGGAACCTCCCATTAAACCTTGGTTCTCCCTGCATTCCTGGATCCTGGTCTCTGTTCCCTGGGCTACGTGACACCATGTACAAGTGAGTAACTATGCAGTTTATTGAAGCATACGAGCATGCTGCGATTACTAATGATCAACAGTTTTTATTTAAGTGCAGTTCCTGTCTACACCTCCACAACGCCGTCTGAGGGCGGAGCAGACGGAACGGCTTGTCAGACGTGCGCTGTGAATAACGGGCGTGGAGCGGAGGGATGGCGCTGCTGAACGGGGGACAAGCGCTGCTTATTTGTGAAGGTGTGGGAGTGACTTCCGTTACCTCCGCGGCTGCCTGCGCCCTCGCTATCAGTTTGTGCCAGTGCCATTATTGACAAAATCCTTGAAGATTCAGTTAATTTACAGAGGTTCGGAAAGATAAAAAGAAATCTGTCGCCTGCATTACATAATTGTATTTGTTTTGAGAAAATGAGCAGTACTGAACATGGCTTTGCAGAGACATTTCGAAGGGCAGGCGCTCGACCGACGGTAGGGTTCCCTCGGTAAAAATTTATGTCAAAAAAGGTAACTTAGAACCTTAAAGGGGGGGCATTTCAATTTTCGAGCGAAATAGGCTGCTTAGACACCCCCCCCGTACGTCCCTGTTAGTATTAAAATGGACGTATGTATGTGGAAGTAGACGAAGCGTAAATAAAACAAACCACGATTTCTAACAATTTTACGTTCTCTGACAAAGCGTGCTTAGCGGATGTTAAGGGTAAATTCTTTAAAAAAAAATGTACTCACGTTAAAGACTCGCGGAATAAATAAATGAATGAATGAATAAATAAATGCCCATATGAGCTTGTGTATTATATTCGCAGCCTTGCTTATCCTTGTTCTATTCATCTTTTTGTGTCTGATTTTGCTTTATTTCGGCTCTTAACCTTGCGGAGTCCATCTGCTGACAGGCGCGTCCTTCATCCAAACACCCCAGTTATCGCCAAGGCAAAACTTGAAAAGCTTTTTTTGTTCCGGAGATAGTGTTCCCACTTTGAAGATTATTAAACAATTCACCTTGTGTCATATTTCTCATGAGGCTTCTACTTTATATGTGCAAAGAAGGCCAGTTCCCCAGGACTTTTAAATACCTGACTGGCGCCATATAGGCAGTGATGTGATTGAAAGAGGCCGACCAACTTTAATTCAGTAACGCAAATTCTTTAACGTTACTGTACCATAGCCTATAGTACTAATTTTATTACCGGTACAGGGCAAGGCTTTGTAAGAATAAAATTCTTTCTATCATCTATCTATCTATCATCTATGCTTTGGCCAAGAAAGAATAGCGGTGTCCCTGTCCTCGGTGGCAGTGGCAGGTGTGTGCACCACCCGTTAATCTGAGCATCTGTCTTCATTTACCGCACCCCAAAAACAAAGTGAGGCATATTGATTTGCCGGGAGCTGCGATCCTCCACGTTTCGGGCCATTGAGCAATACTTTCTTCCCATTTTTACCCTTAACAACATTTAGCCGCAGTAATCAGGACTTCAGAAGACGTGCCGGAGCCCGACTGAGGTCTCCCTTCCCAGTGTGCTGGCTGCACCTTCCACACATTGAAGAATCATTACAGCCACCGCCCGAGAGCAGCCTAAACAAGGAGAGAGCTATTTAATTGTTACTGAAAGTGAAAGCTGCATCCATCATGAGAAATCTTATTATGGCGGTTTCTCTACCCCTAAACAAACATTCATCTTAATTGGGTAGTAGTTATACCCCTCGCAGTGCTCGATCAGCAGGACATCCTATTATAAGAAAGCTAACTGAAAAACAAAAGAGCAATTTTTAACACAACAAAAAATGTCTGGAATGTTTCCCCTTTCTGTTGGGTTTGTTGTTTTCATTGCGTCCGGCGGAAAGTGATGAACCAGGCCAGATCGTGGAGTTCCTAACTCTTCTTTGAGTTAGCTCCATGTAGCTATTGTTACAGGAATGGATAATTGCCTGACTGATGGTGTGATTATCAGAGCCAGTACTAGCGTAGTCTCCAGAAAGCGGAGCCTCCAGCCGTCCACAATCAAGTCTCGTTAAAAAAGCTTTCCTTTACCGTTAGTGATCTCTTTTTTTGGAAGAAAAAAAAATAATAAATAAGTAGGCTGCGAGGAAGTAATGATGGGAATAGGGTTTTTTTACGGTAAATATGCCTTTTCCTATGGTATCCCTAAACGCATACGATGCTCTTTCAGTGCGCGTCTCACCACTTTTTGATGACCACAAAAAAGTAGTAAACGCAATTCGTGCAGGTGCTGGGTGCAGCTTTGCGCATGCGAAATTGTGCGTAATTACGCCGATCTGGGCACGGTTATATTTTAGGGCAGAACATGCCTTAGCCAATGTAATAAGTATACGACGATTAGCCTAACTGGATAAGTGGGTATTAAAGATGAACGGATGGAGAAAGGTCTTATGTAATGGACGAAGAAGTGCTCTATTAGGAGCGAGCCAAATTGTTTTAATAATCTAACAATCTATATTAACTATATAAGCCTACTAAAAAGTCTAATTTATGCTCCCTTTAGGTTAATTTTAACAGATGAAATGTTTCAGAATGTAGACTCAAGCGGAAAATCCTGACAAACTACGTTAAGGCTTTTAAAACAGATTTCTGTACGCAGCCTTCCCTTAAATAGTTAATGACGCAGCTGTTTCTCACAGTTATGGACACAGTACGGAGAATAGAATTAACTTTTGGTTCCGTTGCTGCCACAAGAGGGAGTGTTTTAGCGGAGTGATATTTTAGTTTTGATTTTAGGACGAGGAACTGTACAAAAATGGGAAGATGGGTGGATTTTCTAGGCATGTACCCTTAAGTTTTATTTACACTGGCTTGCAATTCAGCTTAAAAGTCTGTTATGAATGCACCAGGTAAAGTCAATGGTTAAAATTAGCATTATTTTAAAAGTCCTGCTTAAATGTTTTTTTCCAAGCAATGCTGTGTGTGGTATTGTATTTCAAGAAAGTTTCCATTTTCCGTTCAGAGAAATATTTTTATTGCCATTTTTGGATTTTTAAATCTGGTTTCCTGTTGAACAAATCACAAAGCATATCCATCACCGAACAGCACGGCCATATTTTTTTCTCCTTCCTTTTAAAATATAAATCACCTCTGAAAGCCATTTTAAATTATTTACTGAACTGCTGTTTGTTTGGTATCTCCGACCTCAGCCTATTAGTGGGTGGCCACTGACTCCCTGGGTGGATGCAGACAAAAAGGAGCAAATGTCAGCTGTAAATGAGAGGGCGCCAGCCTATGCTGGCCATGTGTGTGCGTGCGTGCGTGTGTGTGTGCGCGTGCGTGTGTGTGTGTGCGTGCGCGTGCGTGCGTGCGTGTGTAAACTGGGATGTGGCGGCAGTAAAGCAAAATGACTCTTTATACCACGTTACTGATTGTGCTGGGAGAGAGAACATGACGGCAGCTAGTGTTACGGTGCAGCATGGCGGGGAAAAAAGGCGACAATCCACTTGCTGTTCCGAAACAGAGGGGTTTATTAACAAAAGGGATGAGACTAAGGAACAGGACTTCCAACACACAGTAACATAACTCAAGGACTGACCGAAGCAAATTGCAAAGTCAGGCACTTAAATACACCGAACACAATGACTAACAAGGGGCAGGTGTAACACAAGCAAAACAGAATTAAACCAGACACAAGTAAGTAGGATAAACCAAAACAGGGAAGCAAAGGACTAATAAACACTAGGAAAAACAGACAAGTATGTATCACTGCAGCTGTGAGCCGAGTGTTGAGTGGGGGGGCCAATGTCAAGTAGGAGGGGTTTATGTTAGGGTTGGGGTATCAGGTGATAAGTTATAAACCCCTCACACATTGCACCTCCTACTTGACATTGCCACACACTGGGGCTGAAAGGCAAGAGACAGGGAGGAGGACAGGATAGCCAGCGACACCTGCTGGCCAAACTCAGAGGAGCAGGGCAGAGTCAGATGGGCGCCGACCCAGACAGCTAGTCAATGGCGGACAAAACTGAAAGACACATTTTCCTTCTAAAGGAGTAGAAGGTTGACATGTAAACACGTTTTCACGAAGGCACCATTAACTGTCCGCATTAAGCATTTTAAATATTTAAGCCTCAGCATTTCTGTTATATATATATGAGTGGCTCATAACTCTTGGTTCACCATGGCACTCCACTAAGTCTCTTGAAAGCTCTCAGTGATTTTATATACAGTGTTGCCTTACTAGCAGAAATATTGCCCACTGTCGATCACCTTCAAGAACTAAGTGCAGTCAGGATATTACAGATTAGATCTGAGTTCTTGCTGCCCATTTATTGCTGATATATTTTTAAGTGTTTTTAACAGCCCCGGATGTCAGATACATTGCATGCTAAAATTAACCAGGGACATTCGCAAATGGAAAATCAGCTTTAATTAAAGATTGTCATCCTTTATACATTCTTCTCACCTTGATTACAAGAGTGTAGAGGTTCAAATCTGTAATGTACATTGGGGGAAAAAGTGTGGAAGAAAATGTGACGGATCAAATTTACCCATTTTGCTGTTGAAAACACATTTACAACTGAGTACATCACAAATCAGGCAGGTTTTGTATTAGAGGTTGAGAGTCATGAGTACCATGAATCCTTCTTGTTCCCTTGGTAGCTACCGTAACTTCGTTGATTGGAGACTCAAATCGTTTCCATTTGCATGTGTGAGGTGCACGTCACCTGTACTGAAATGAGGTAACATATTGTCCATATAACATTGTCTGTAATGTTCCAGTCACTTATCATAAGCATGGTAACAGGGGTATTGACCTGTGACATGTAAATAAATTATTCGACTAAGCTCAAACCATCACCTCTTGAGAGATGGAATGTGAATCATGCCAGGACCACCACACCAGTGCAAAGAGAGGTGACCTAAATCACATGAGTTAATCTTCTCCAACTGTGCCCTTTGTATATTTTTGCAAAAGTCCGCTGGCTCTGTATCATAACGCGGTGTGAGATGGGAACCGAATCGAAGACAGACGTATCCGAAAGCAGCAGTCATGGATTTGCACTCTGGTCTCTATGTTTCAAGGAGTCGTAAAGTAATCGCAGAAAAGGAAGATATTTAAATTACAGGGATTTCTCTACTGTGTGTTTTGTCTGCTCAGCTGTTAATCCCGTCCAGTCTTTGACTATGAAATGACGAAGGCGATGGCCTCCAGACTGGAAGATTCCCTCCTATAGTTTAAACACTGTGAGTGGAAGAGGTTTACATATCTTTATTTAGCATAATTACACAGGCAAACAAAACGAGTCAGTCTTTCAAAGGGAGGGAGAGGGGATCGAGCAGGAATGGGGTGCCCACACAGGCTTAAAATCAAACGGCGAGAACTCTCATAAGGCTTTAATTGGGGGGTGGGGATGCTATTCATACCCTGTAATATACCCCACCTCTATAGCCATGACCCCTGTGAAGCATTTCTACCTTATAAGTGTGAGCCCCCCCTCCTGCCTCCCAACTGATGGTTCAGTCCGCTGGTGGAAGGTTTAGGTATAACTATGTGACGGAGTCTCCTTCAATTCATGGTACCCCTGGTGGTTAGAGGGCTCTGTGAAGAGACAGAGAGGGCAGTTAGGGGTGTGAGGGGTCAGTTTTACAGTGCAGGACAGTTGACTACATCTATATTTTGTTTGTTTCTAAATAATTGTTACTTCCACCTTATCTCCCCTCTCCCTCACCTGCCATCAAGATAAACTTGTACAAAAAGGAATGTACATCTTAATATTTACATAAAAATAAACTTCCAGATGGCAGTTGTAAACCTATTCCTGGATGTTACCAAGCATGGGAACAGACTGTTTTTTCATTCTTAAATGACGCAAAGCGTTCTGAATAAAAACCTTTGGAATTTGCAGGTCATGAGTGTATGTGGTTTAGCTTTGAGAGTAGCTACACAGCTGAGAAACTCTGAAAATACTCCTTCTGGATAGTCAGGTTGAAGGGAGAAAGGTTTACCTGAACATACAGATGTTCTGAGCTGCACATGTGTGCCATATTAATGAATTATGCGGCATGTTGTCATTTGATAATTTTTTGAACATCCCATATAATGAAAATAAAAATTCCCAATAGGATAATGCGTTTCAGCACATAGATGAGGGTTACGGTACCAAGACTCAAATGTTCCTCTACCAGAGGTCTCTGTTCCTTGCAGTTCATGACGTTTCCTCGAGCTCCTCCCAGTATGGTCATGATATCCACCAGGTTGTGCTTTCTCTCCTCCCTGGCCTCCCGAGCTTCCTCTTCCATCTCCTCCAGAGCTTCCAGGGCCTCCTCTGCCTCTTCCTCGCTCATCATGGCATGGTGCCTGCCCATGGGCCTCTGTACTTGTGGGGGCGCCAGAGAGCACACGGCCCTCAAGCGGCCATAGGAGCGTAAGTGGGTGACGTTGGCGCGCAGGAAGAGGAGGATGACATTGAGGTCGTTGAGCGGGCAGCCCAGTTTGCGGTCGCTGATGAGGCCCAGGGCGGGCAGCACCTCATAGAGGGTCAGGAAAGTGGTGTCCCAGCAGAAGAGGCGAAGTAGGCTGAAGATGACAATCGGAGCGAGAAGGACGTAGACGGCGCCGTTGGCAATGCTGATGATTTGGAAGACCAGCAGACCCATCATCTTGCACTGAATCAGCTCGGGAACCCAGGGCTGATCACGCAGGAGGCCCGTTCGCACCAAGCAGCTGAACTCGTCCTGGAGCAACGCCGACAAGTGGAAGTAGACCAGGTAGAGGCAGGAGGCCGACATGAAGAGGAGCAGCAAGAAGCCACGCAGGAAGAGCATGCTGACCAGGAAGTAGGAGCGCTGCTTGCACTGCATGTATCTCTCCAGCAGGGGGTACTCAAAGTAGCGTTTCCGCTTCGCTCTGTCAAATGAAAGAGTATTTTTATTTTCCACATATTGACAAGTTGAGTTCTTATACTGGCTACCTGGAGTGCTTCCTTGATGGTGATTGAAACCCTTTCATTCAGTCATTTTGAATTTTACTTATACTTTTGGTTTTGACCATTTGCAGTGTTTTAAGCGGTTAAGTTTTACTGAGTTGGTTTTGATCCGCAGTATCTCGCACGACTTATATTTCATAAGACGTTATTACGCTTGTAATTTTTTATGGGCAGATGAGAGGAATGTTAATGTTTGACAGAACTTGCATTCCTGATTGATAATGAATGAGGTGTGAGATCCCCAGGGGAAAGTGCTTGTAGTGAGGCAAGAATATTGCATGGTGGTTAAGGACACAAAAGCCTGAAGCGAGATCCCTGTAGGAACCAGGCTGCTGCACCCTTGGGTCAGTACTTAAATAGTCTTTAAAGTCTAATTTAACAACAAAGGTCTCAGAAACGGACATGCCCTTCCTCCCCAGGACACCCCCCCCCAGATCTCACATTTGTAACTCTGCCTGAAACTCCGTCTGGCTGGGGGCACTGTGCCGGAGGTCCAGGATGCTCTGGGCCAGCCGCACTGATCGGTTGTAGGACTTGTCCAGCTCTTCGATGACGAACAGCAGGTCGGCACCGAGGTAGGGGGCCACCAGGAATCGCCAGATGAGGGCGGGCAGGTACATGAGCACGGCCATGGCCAGCAGGGAGTACGGGAACATCTGGACCGGGGGGATGGGGGGCAGCTCTCAGCGAGGACAGGAGCAGGGCGTGCAGTACAACGTACAATTACCCTGCTAAAGTCGGCAGAACGGGATAATCTGAACCATCCCTGTTTGGAAGCAGTCCGATTTGAAATGACATGTTTTTTTGTCACATTTACTCTGCAAAGTATTACTTTTCAGTTTATACTTTTCATTACCATGCTCAAATTCTTTCAAACTGGTGCCTTCGGGTCTAGACAAACACAAAAATCATCTGCAAAAATCCCAAGTTCTGGATCTTAAATGGAAACAAGCTGGCTAGCTTGATTTGTAACACATAATAACCAAAAGTTTACTTTAATTAGGAAAGTAATTATTGCAAGTAAATGAAGTGTAGACAACATGGCTGGATTAGAGAGGGAGTTATATCCATACTTTGTGCACCCAGAGGGAACGCTCTTCGAAGTTTCCGTTGGCGTCGAATTCGTGGTGCATCAGAGTATCCCAGCAGTAGGTGTCCACGTAACTCGCCTGTTTGGCCGAGAAATTGCTTGGAGGGAAGCAGCTGATCTGTTGGCCTAAGACAGACCAAGAAATAGAGCATCCAATGAGCATGATGACAACTCTACTAAACCAGTGCTGCACAATCCAGTCCTTGGGGATCCTCAAACAGTCCACAGTTTTGCTCCCTCCTAGTTCCTAGTGAATCAAGAATACATAATACTTGTTACAGGTGCATTGGGAGCTGGGAAGGAAAATGTGGACTCTTTGGCGGTCCCTGTGGACTGGGCTGAGAAACCCATTTTACTTTAATGTCTACATGGAAGGTCTGTGAGTTTCCTTGTTTATTTTGCACCTATTTCAGTCTGCAGAGTTTTTTTCAAGGTTACAAAGAGATGTTTTCCTGAAAGCTTTGTCCTTGGTTCTTTTTTGGGCTGTACAGCCCACTGTACACCATGTGCATGAAGAAACCGCAGAAGGCGTGGTTCCTCTCATCCAGCTGCATCTCTCCATGGCTGGGCGGACTGGGCGGACTGGGCTGTGCCCTCTAGTGTGGTGGAAAAGCCTCACATCCTAATGTGAGTCCTATTTTTACAGGGCAACTTAAACAGTAACCGCACTTTCCAAGAATTACAAAGGGACCGCAATTTACTTACAGTACATGTGGAGTCTCCACGGCCACTAGCCATTAAAGAGCACTTTAGGAGAGGCCTGAATGTTCAGCCTTCCTAGTTATAGAGATACAGAAACGGGAGGAGAAAAGCCTGCCCTCTGCTTCTGGTGCATTTGATGCAAACTCTAATCAGCATTAGTTTTGCGTCACATTGAGTACTGAGCAGTGAATTTACTTTAGTACTTGTGCTTTTACATTTTTACTCATTCATGTCCTCAGTGTAAGGACAAATGAAGCATTTTTTCACTATTTAAGGCCAAAGCATTTACAGTAACTGACATTTTCCAGCTATTAATGAGATTATCCAGAGCTCAGTTAAACACCAAACGAAACATCACAGAATGAAGACGAGCCCTAGGGGCACCTCTGTAAGGAACAGCGTCCTCGTTTATCTGGCCTCACACTTGCTGTTTAAAGGGGCCATCACATTGCTGTTTAAAGGGGCCATCACATTGCTGTTTAAAGGGGCCATCACATTGCTGTTTAAAGGGGCCATCACATTGCTGTTTCCACCTGCAGTGAAGTGCTGCTTCACAAGTGGTTTGTGGACAAACTGTCAGCCGTGTCCAGAAGTCACAACAAAACCACACGGAATCCAAAACTGTACCCTTCAGAAACCCTTAGCATGACTCTATAAGACCAATCAGGGGCCGTAAATAGAAAGCGGTAGCTGACCGATAGAGATCTCCCTGGCAAAAGCCACGGACACCAGCAGGAGGGGCAGCCCCACGGAGACAAACTTGATGAAGCGGTCCAGGGGCAGCTCGAGCTCCAGGCTCCGAATGCGGCTGTCCCCCGGCTCGTCTCGGAGCAGGGCGTCCGACAGCATGGCCTGGGTGGCCGCCTTGGCGATGGACATCCTCCTGGCTGAGGAGCGACAGAGATTAAAAGCCGGCGATTGAGGCGTGTGTATGTATTCTTCATCCTTTACGGAAGAGGGAGCAACACATGCAGAGGAGACTTAAACTCAACTGCTGTGAATGCAGGTAATAAACAGCAAATTAGATCAACCTGAGCTCCTGACGATTTATCACACTTATTTTATTTAGCAGACATTTTTGTACAAAGCAGCATACAAGTGAGGCAGATAAAACATTACAGACATATGCTGTCACGGAGTCAGCTAGGCGTAAATGCAGCTAGGCGTAAATGCAGCTAGGCGTAAATGCAGCTAGGCGTAAATGCAGCTAGGCGTAAATGCAGCTAGGCGTAAATGCAGCTAGGCTGAGCTTCCACGGAATACACAGGTACGAGTGAAAACAGTACTGGAGCACTTTTCTAAATACTTTAATCTGCATTGTTTTTTTGAGATTTTACGTTTTTACCATATAAAATCATTTTATAATGTCAAAAACCCTATTCATAATTACACAGAAAAAATGCCAATCATGCTTAAAATCTAACCAGTTCGAACCCGAGCACTGTAGACTTGTTTCCAGTCATGCAGAACAGCCCCCACTGTACCTTTGGTAATCCTGCCTCCGCCAACAAAACCAGTAGACAACCAGTCAATCCAGTGGCAACACGGTGATGCTCTAAGGAGCAGGATTGGCGCTGGTGGGGGCTTTAAGTACTCTGGGGAACGGAGAGCCTGTACTGGGCTGGCTCACTCGGGGTAATTAAAGGGGCTTCTGCCCCGCCTGGGCCCATATGGCCACAAGCAGGACCTGCAGGGACGAGGCTGGGATGGGCTGGGGTGGCATCGTGGCTCGCCCAAGTCGCCCCCACCCTGCCCCGGGCCACACGGCGGCTGTGTGGACCCCGCCCACTTCAAACACAGCCCGGCCTTGTGGCTTTTTCCGCCCTTCTCATTACCCTCTATGTATAGCCAGCTGTGGCTGCAGTGCTGGGCAGTCCTGCCGCGCAGTGGAGATGGGTTCCTTGCTCCAGCCGGACCCCCAGGACCCCAGGACCTGATCCTTACAGCAACCTGAAATCTAGGCCCCGCCCACACTGACCCATGGCAAAAAAGAGGATTTGGTTGGACAATTCTGGAGCATTAAAACTAGGCAAATTGTCAGTTTCCTGTTTTCACTCAGCAGTATGAAACACTCTATTTTAGCTACACTGTTATATCAAGAATTGCGCACTTGTAGGATAATGTTTCTCCCTTTACCAAAAGTGAAACTATAAAATATATTTTGATATCCCTCTACAGTACATGCACGTGGGCATTCCCACAGTTACAGTATTCTCTTTGGATCATACTATTCCATTATATGCAGAATCGCAGAATTATGCAGAAATGCAGTATTAAATTGTCCTTGTTGAAAACCAGCAAGTGAGAAATCACAAAAAGAAGACTAGTTAAAAGTGAACAAGTCACTATTAAAATAAAATGGCTCCCAGCAAACTTGTGCATATAACTAAAAGCCAGATACCCATAAGAGGCAGTGGCAGAATTTGGCATGAACGGCAGTGACACCTCAGTGACTACCTGAGGCTCATGTTATCCCGACACCTTCAGAACACTTTCAGGCTCTGTTCTTATCACACGCCAGTTAAGATACTCCATCAGTGACATGTAAGCATGTATAACACATCAGTCAACAAAGTGCTGCCACCCATTGGTCAGAACAGAACGGCATTAAGTCATCCCATCTATATGTTCTCACTTTATTATTTTAATTGTTTAGTTAGCCCTTTTATCTTGATCAACTGTATCAAGGCCAAGTTCGTGTCCTCTGTAGCAGAAAATCAATGGTATCATTAACATCTCTTTGTTTTTCAGAAACACACTAGTAGTGTCTGACCCTAGTATGGCTTTACTACAAGCTCTGTTTACTTTCAAATAATTTCAAACATGTTTCCAGTGGTGGGCATGGTTCAGTTAATCTGCTAACCGCTAATTAGCAAAGCTTACTTTTTTGTTAGTGGATTAGCGTTCCTGCTAACTTTGAAAACTGTTAGCAGACCAATTAGCTTCCGATAAACTTACTTCTGCTAACTGTAAATCCACTAACATTTTTTGTAGGTAAAGTGAACAAAGTTTAACGGTCAAAAATGTATGTGAATCCTACAATTATACACATTTGTCCCGGTCTGCAATAGTCGGACACACTGTTAGATGTCAACGTGAAAACACAAGACATGATTGGTCGATAACGTGTTGAATTTAATGTCATCTTTGCTAAATGTAAGTCAATGAAGATAAAGTCCATTTAAACTGGGGTATCCTGAATAAAGCAGAGAATAGCCAGATAACTTGTTGGATTTAAGGTACCCAGTTTAAATGGACTTTATCTTTGTCCACTTACATTTAGCCCAGACCATCTTAAATCTGACAAGTTATCTAGATAAGCAAGAAATCCTGATTCGTGATATAGGATGTTGTATTTTCCGGGTTCTGATTGACAGAGCTATAGACCAATAAAGTGCTGAGACCCTCATACTTACTTCCAGGTAAACGGTGCCATGTTTGTCCACAAGTCCCCAAGCAGCTTCACTGAGGGCAAAATGTCAGCATGAGCTGCAAAATAGGGCTTCTCTGACAAAAACGCTTATATCTCACAAACAGAATTTCATAGAAAGAAAAATTCAAAGCAGAATTATTCCAGAGACTCTACAGAATCCAACAATGTCTAATTGGGTAAATCCTAAATATCCCTTCTTCAGTGTAAAACAGGTTAAAATCTCTTGTTATGTTTTTAAAGGTTTCTGAGCCAAAAACCAAAAAGACTAAATTCATATAATAACAGTTTGTGGTTTATCGGTTTACCTTAACAAATTAAACTTTGGAGTAAGCTGATTAGTGATTATCAAAGCTAACCTTCTGGTTAGCTGTGCCCACTACTGCAGGTTTCTGAAATACCTGCCGTATCCTCACCTGTTGTTTTCCCTAGGATCCATGTCTGCTAAGGCTGTACAGATCACAGTTCCATACTCAAATGCTACTCGATTACCATTTAGAAATATACATTACAATTGTTTGTTTTCCCAGGACCTGGTTGCAATTTCTCTCAAAAATGTTCACTTTCCTTATGTTCTGTGCTTAAACACTTCTTCATATTTTTTCCATGAACTGTGTAAACACTGTTCATTTTATTATGCCCTTCTATTTTATTTATTGTGTAGATGTAACATGCATTACATGCAGAGAAATGGCGTGGTTAAAACCATCTGGCATTTAAGAGGTTAAACTCAATTTGCGTGAGTGCAGCCCCGCCCACTCATCAGTGGAGAACTGGAATGTTCCGGTTCTTCCCAGGTTACCAAAAAGAAGTGAGCTACGTAGTTTTCTCAGACAGTGAACAAGTTGGTTCACCAACTTCACCAAACATTAGAAGAGTATGTAGAGAGCGAGACATCGGTTGTGATTGCCGAGCTTTTTCTTTTGTACGTAAACTTTGATTATAATATGAGTTACACATGTTACCTGGTCGTAAGCGTTGCCGAGATGTTGCAGTAGTATAAGTACTTTAGATGTTAAGAATGATTTAATGTAAAATATAGTTATAATGTGTTTATTCTTTAAAGAGGAAAAAAGTGTTAAGACCATCGAGTTAAATGGGTTTCATTTAATCTTAGCTGCTACTAGTCACGCGCGAGGCCCGGAGCAACCGCGTGTGCACATTTTGACCAGAGGTACATTTTCTTTATTCACTAAACATGTGTGTGCAGTAAAAGAGGCATAATACCGTAATTTGGTTTAGAAATATGTTTATTTCGAGTGTATTGCATAAATACGTTTTGTATTGAAGTAAATGTACAATTCTTTATCATGCTGTAAAAGGTCATTGTTAGTTGATTGTTTATGTGTAAAAGTATTTGCTTAAATATATAGTGATGTATATTGGATTAATTGTAACTAATAATTAGACAGTGACTGATATTATATTGTAAATATTGTAGTATTATAATACCTGTTTGCTTAAGCAGGTCAGGTTCTTTAGAGGGAATCAAAACTTCTTGGAACTGCATTTGAATATCGTTGGATGTCGATGGCGAGCCACCCATTAAGGAATTGAACTGACCCTAGTGTTGACAACTCCTGTTCAATTAACTACCGGATTTGTGGTAAGACTGTGAACGCGGGACTGTCAAATTGTTTATGCTGTTTTGCGACTGCGATTGTATTTCATTTATCTAAATTGTTGTATACTTACCTTTCTTTCATCCCTGTGCCGGTGGGATTGAACTAAAAAGGGTAACCAACAAACAAGTTGGTGAATCTAAAGGTAACCTAAGCCCAATTACAATTAATCTCAATGTAATTAGCGGTTGCTTCTAAATTTAGCTATAAAAGTTAAAATTTAGAACTATTTTAGGTTCAGTTAAGTTTATTTTATTTTCTGTGTATGTTATGCCATTTTTCATTCCTATCAGTAAAGTTGGTGATTATCTGCCTTGTGTCTTCTGTGTATGCTGCCACCCACACCTCACCTCCGTACTGAACCTAGACATACTGGTCCTAGATTTGCCCAAGTTTGGCCACATCCAAAGACAAACCAACCAGGTTACCACAGCCAATCCGAAGCAAGCACGTGCTACATAAAGTTGAAGTGCCTCTCAGATTAGAAATTTCATTAGTGGTAATGGTGTTGCATTGTTATCAGTATATGACAATAAAATGTGAATTTGAACTTGAACTTGCACTAGACAGTGAATTCTTACCCACAAGGACAGATCCCCTGTGAAGCACGAAATGCAGACACCCACAGACAACATACAGGTACGCTCATTGCTGTATTTCAGGTGAAGAAGTACAGAATACTGACAATGCAAGCAACTCACTCCAACCTTCAAAGAGCACACACCAAGATGTGCACAACCGGATGCAGAAATGACAAAAGTGTTCCTAGAACCTCCAGCAGAAACTAGAGCTGCATCGCATTTAGACAGGAGACAATGTTCAGGAACCTCTATTACTTGCCCAGGTTATGTCTATTGAGAACCTTTATAGTTCAGCTGAATGTTCATTTAAGATATTATTAAATGTACAGTAACAGCATGAGCTAGGCATTAAGACAGTGTTAAAGCCATATTAATTATTATTATTGATTATTAATTATCAGTAACAATTATAACAAAATATCAAACTGTGTTATATTGGGAGGCTGATCAGAATGAAAAGAAAACTTAATGACTGTTAAATTTCAGTTTTTCCTGCATACATAAAAGCCCCCTTTCCAATGAGTTTCTAAGAGTCTATGAGATTACAAAGACCCTAGCAGAGAACACTGATACTTATTTGCAACCTGTTTCCTTTGTTGAAGATAGAGGTGTCTGTCTGTCTGTGAAAGTCTCTGCATTTCATAACAAAAGGTGAAAATTTCAGTGAAATTTCCAACCTGAACACACAAGACAGAACAGAACTGGGAATCTGCCAGCAGTGTGCTTCTAACCTCTGTGATGTGGACATCCAGAACAACAGAGGGTTATTGGAGTGTTTTAAGTCATTACATTGATCAAAATTTAGCAAATTCAGGCTTGCACTTGAAGTCTGAACACTAACTAGAACACATTCCACAGTTTTCACATATATTACACCCAGTTGTTAAGGACTCCTTTAGGGTTGGGTACTAAGTTTGGAATCCATCTTGGAAAAATGCAGAACTATCGCTGGGTCTTTCAATCGCATCACCTAGGCAGCCAATAAGCTCAAAGACATACAGCGTCAGTTGCAGTTGCCAGAGTATAGACTACAGAAGGATGTGGGAATCTGATAGAATTCGGAAGATAATGCACAAGCAACAGACAGCACTTTGTCTTCTGGGGAAAATGTACTGTGCTAGTGTGGAGGAACAATCTCAGGTCAGCCAAGCGGTTGACACTTTGAGACCATTTGCAGAAGCAACAAGGGATGTGTCTGCAGGACAGCGCATATCAGTTTCAAAGTCCAATGTCTGGTCTCCAAGCACAAGAAAAGATCATATTAGCTGGACTGAAAGGTAATACACTGGCTTCAGAGATTGCAGTGCAATGTGGCTGAGGACACTCTTTGGACAATGACTTCAAAAGCATTGTGTTCCTGACAGTGGAAATGTTCAAAATGTAAAATCACGGCTCATTGATTAGCCCTTGCCATGGACAGCCGACTGCAATGATTAATGCACCTACCTGAACACCTCAACCAAGCCTCCTTAGCAGAAAATTATCAACATCAACCCTTTCAGTGACAGCAGTACCCAGGTCAGCTGACAGAAATGCAGAGGTGTCTTATGAATCTTCAACTGATTATATGTTTATAAATAACTAATATTATAATTTTATACATATTTGACGTATTTTTATAGGCCTATAAATGCTCTTTCAGGTGTTTGTACATGATTACACTAGTGGGTGGGGCTTGTAAATGGCTGTTCCGGAACAGACCGATGATTCACTCACTATGATCTGAAGGAAATGAACGCATGAACCGAAATAATTTTGTTCACTCTAAGATTCTTTTTTTGATTCAGTTATGTGAGACTCCACGTGAGCTGTTCAGAGGCACAGAACATATCTTGATGATGGATGTATTTATTTTTGATGTTGTCCAAAAATACTATGCCTATGTAAATAGCTTTTTTTTTCTTGGCTCAATAAGTCCTTGTAAGCTAGATGTTCTTTCTTCTTAAAGCTGCCCAGGGTGTTGCCGGGACGTTTACATACATTGTAATTTTTTTAATTACACGTTTAATACTTCTATCAGTGGGTACATAATGAAAAAGACGCGGGACCCTGTGTGACTGGGAAAGATTACAGAGCCGCTGCATGACACACGTGGGCTACTAACCAGCAACATATCTGTAACGCTGGGCTGTTACAAGGAGGCAGACTAGAAAACACAGCCAAGCTTATACCATGAGCCCATGTTGACAGGAACAGGAGGTGATATAGATGTAGAACAGTACAGCGATTTTAACACTTTTGTTTTTCTGTTGGTAGGCCTAAGTGTTTCAGTGGTATGAATTAAGTAGTGTGGATTGCTGGCTGTAATGTCACTACAAGTACTTGAAGCAGTTGATTATTTTTTTTAATAATTAAAAAAAACATTCTATTGAAACACAATAGATTATGCCAACGATGTATACAAACAAAATAAAAATTTCCCTATTCATAACTTGCTTTGGAGATAAACAAAAATGCATTTGAAAAGCAAGCGAGATCAAGAAACAATGAGGAACAGACTTCACGAAGAACTATTTCAATGAACATTTCTGAACATTTTCCTTCAAATATCATGTCAGCAACAGGTGATCTCATTTTACGCAGATTCATGTCGCACAATAAAAATGGCAGAAGTATCTTTCATAGTTTTCAAGTCCTTCACATAAAAAAGAGTCGTTTTAAGAATGTGATTCGTTTCAGGCAAGCCTCCTTCCAAATCGTTCTTTCCGTTTTCGTCCTTTCATTATTCATCCCTCTTTCATTCTTCTGGATTGACAGTAGTGACACAGCACACCCGTCTTTTTATTAATGTTTTGGTTGCTTTTAGACATTTCGTTCTTTTCTGCTCCACTTGCATTTGTGTTATCGCTCTCAGGTCCCATCCTAGCTGGGCGGGCGGCGTCCTTTTCCTCGTAATAAACAATCGTAATACCGGAAGCCCGTCTTTCCCTATTTACAGGCACGTGCCCATCATGTAGGAAGATCGCTGCCTTCTTCGAGACACTGGAGATGACTTGCCTCCAATGTCTACCATGGCTCCAAAAGTCAAATACACATACTTTGCGCTGTCCTTCTGCACTGTTTCTAGAAACGATTTGTTGTTGATATGAACTATTATTATAAATCATGCTTCGAAGAAAAAAAAAATCCCATATGCGCTTCAGCGAAATCACTTACGTGATCAATGATTGCATTATGAAATCAACCTGAGAGGGGAGTGAGACGTACTGGTAGAACTCCGTCTGCATGTTGGGGAAGGACTCAGCGTTACACAGAAAAAAATGGTTCACTTCCTGCAGCCCCCTACCAGCATTTCCGGACGGTCGACATTTGTACATAATTGAGTTGTCAAGATTATCAACATACTCCATATCGTTCATCATGGTAGATAGGAACACCAAATCAGTTTCTATGTGTTTAAACACACACAAAACCAAAGAGGGTTAGTTTGACACATAATAGCTATTGTTTTTTGCCAGAAATACAAAATCCCCTCCCCAATAACCGTAGTTAACTCTCCTCTTCCACTTCTTCGATATTTCCACACATATCTGCTTGCACGCCGTCATCGCAAAGTCAAGTCTATTCCCCGGAGAAGAATGAGGGCCCAAACCAAAGTCCGCTGTCTACGTGAGTGTGTGGCTGATGCTGGGATAGATGGCGAGCTGAGTGTGTGAGTGTGTGAGTGTGTGCTGTGTTCGTGCAGTGTGGTGAGCGTGATTGCCCTGGTCCGGCTGTGCCGTTCCCTCCCCCTCCTCTTCTTCATCTCTCCTCACTCCATGCCCTCGTTGTCCTCGAGGCCTAGGTCCCTCACTCCGGCACTGTGCAGCTGCCTCGCCCTTGCTCTCTCCTCCTCCTCTTCCTCATCCTCCTCTTCCTCCATCCCTTCTTCCTCCTCGTCCTCGTCCTCCTCCTCCTCCGAGCCGTCCATGGAGTCCTCTCCTCCCCCCAGCATGGCCTGCTGCATTGCCAGAGTGGCAGAGTCAGAAGACAGCGGCTGCAAGCTGTCCATGGCAAGGGAGCCTGGTGGGGAGGGACAGAGTGCTTAGGCTAAACCCACCACTAGGGGGAGTACAAGCATACTAAATTTCACAAGTCACTGTACTGCTGATGCACTTAAGTCACAAAATACTGTATTTGAGTCAAGGTATCCATGTATAATCTGAAAAACATGAAACAGAACTCTGTTGCCATACACTGAACTAGTGAAAGAGTACACAATTAGGGGTAAAAAAAATGGAATAGAGTACTAAGAGTGTGAGGCATAGGCAGGGGCGGATTAACGCACAGGCTAGATATGGCTTAAGCCTAGGGGCCCCACGTGTGCCAGCCTGCAAGGGGGCCCCCATTGGCGTGGAGGGGGGCGGGGTTGGGGGCCCCACAGACTACTGTAGCCTAGGGGCCTCTGTACACCTTAATCCGCCCCTGGGCACAGGGCTGTCATGGTGTAGCAGAGACAGCTATCAGAGTGCAGTGTTAAACTAACTGTCTGAGTTGTTGCCAGAGTGTGTCCCGTGGGTCTGCAGCACACCAGCCACAATGGAGTCCGGCCAGAAGCGCTGGGTCGGCCGGTGCTGAGACTTCATCTTCTTGGTCTTCGGGGCAGGGTCGGGGTTGCTGGCATCCAGCATGGGCTGCAGAATCCGCCTGCGGGCGTTGATGAACCTGGCATTGCAAGAAACACGCAGATACCTCGACTCAGTTTAAGGTAGTAATTTGATTTCACCAGCAGATGGAGCCGAAGTACTGTAAATGGCAAAAACTTGAAAACGCCACATAGGAAATGCCTCCCCTAACAGAAGGGGATAGGCATCCTTGTTAAACAGAACCACTTAATCTAAACCAAAGATGGCCAAAGAATTGAGTGAACAGTGTTCCATATTAAGATTTCCAATCAGCAATTGAACATTGAAGTCTATAAATCATCCTTTCTACAGATATTCTCTGAACAGAAACATAACTGCAATAATGATGAGAAGCAGGCTGTTGGACGAAGAATAAAAATGTCCGCCTTGTGTCCCAACAAGCCCCTGTCATTCTGGAGTCAGCCTTACCAGTTGTTGACCTGCAGCAAGGTGAGGTTTGTCTGTGCAGCTATCTGTCTTTTTTCATCCTCTGTGGGGTACGGGTGCTGAAAGTAAACACAATATTTCTGAAGATCCATAACTGCAGTCAAGAAAATGCTGAGTTGGAGTTTTTTTCTACTGCTTGGAGCCAAAGAATATGTTTCAATGGACTAAAACATGAACTAAGAATCGTACAGCTTTCATGAAAAAAATGACATGAAGATACTTTATTTGCCCATTTACATAAGAATGCCTTTTCTGCTGAGAGTGAAGCATGGCGAGTGCGGGGTCAGCTATTTATCTGGTGACCCTGGAGCAATTGTTAATTAAGGGCCTTACTCAAGGGCACAACAGATGTGTAAGTGTGCTAAGCTCAGGATTCAAACTGACAACCGTCTGATCACAGACACAGAGTCCTAGCCCGATGAGCCACATACCGCACCCAGAAATGTCATTAAATGCTGCCTGGTTTGTACAGTAAATGAAGGTTTACAGTTCACAAGTTGGTCAAGGCCTGTGATAAACCACAAAGTAGTGATGACTAATTGAAGCTACATGAACCAATTGCTGTATGTTTTGGCACCACTAGATGGTGCTCTTGGCTCGCTTTGAGGCAACAAAGAGCACCATCCAGTGGGGTCAGAAAATACAACAAATGGTTCATGAAGCTTCATTCGGCCATGACTACCACAGAGACCACCTGTTTTGAGGAGATATAAAGTAGTCACTATAAAGCAGGGGTGGGCAATCTTATCCGCAAAGGGCTGGTGTCTATGCAGGTTTTTGGATAACCTTTAGGTTAGCTCAGGGGTCTCCAACTCCGGTCCTGGAGAGCTACTATCCAGTAGGTTTTCTATCCTACTTGGCTTCTGATGAGCCACACCTGTTCCTGGTATTTACCTGAGAACAGGTGTGGCTCATCAGAAACTGGGTATGACAGAAAACCTACTGGACGGTAGCTCTCCAGGACCGGAGTTGGAGACCCCTGGGTTAGCTGTTCAAACCCAGGTGTGAGGACTCTTCAGCCAATCAGTCCTCTAATTACCAATCTAATAAGGGAGTTGCAGTGAAAACCCGCATAGACACCGATAAGATTGCCCACTCCTGCTATAAAAAGATTCGAGGACTCAGGCTGCCCATACCCCTCTAAGCTCTGCCATTGCCCTGCCTCTCCATGCCCCACCCCCTCCCAGCAGCCAGCCTACCATGAGGTGCTGGAAGAGCCAGGAGCGCATGATGTTGGTGGCGTGTTTCGGCAGCACACCCCTCTTGTTCTTTGACTTCTTGTCATCGCCGTCAAGGAGGGACGAGAGGTCCAGGTTTACCTTGAAGGAGACGAGAAAAGGGATGCGTTGGCGTTGCCATGGTGACCACCATGCCAGCTTCTTTTGCATTCTTCTGGCGGTGAGGCATTTTATTGCCATAGCAACACACTCCCCTCATTGTTGATGTCAAAAATAAGAAAAGATGAACAGATTTTCAACAACTTTTTTTTTTCCTGAGAGATAATGTGAAGTATTTCATCAGCTCAGCTATATTTATTTATAAATATATATACATTCTTTTTTCCCAGGCTTTCCAGTTCAGGCTCCAGTTTACTGCCAATTGTTCCAGTAAACATACTTGATGGAAACAGCCTTCTTTGGAGCAACAGATGTCCTGCACTCTGCTGTCCTCCTATCTACAGCTCGCCTCTCAGAGCCCCACTGTAGCAGTCAAGGCGTGACACACCTCCCTCTGCCCCCCCTCAGCCCTGGCAGCCTCACACACAGCTTCTCTTCCTGCCCACGGTCCTACTTCTCCATTTAGACTGAGAGCTGCCCCCCTCCATCACCACCCTGGCTCGAAATCAGCTCGTACAAAAGAATAAGCCCCTTATTTCCCCATAAATGACCAGAGATTAGCCACGCCGTTCTGTTTGGAATTCCGTCATTAGCTTCATTAGCTACATGGGCTAATTCGTAACGTAACTGCGATCAGTAATGCCAGCAGCTTCCTCCCAGACCCGTCGGACTCTGCATGCTGCACTATATGGGACCTCTGCCAAAAACAAAAAACCTGAAGGAGAGACATGGAGAGAAGCGCGTACAGATGGACAGATGGGCAGAGCCAGACAGGAAGGCAGACGTAGGTGGGCAGAGGTGGCAGGCAGATGCCACGCGCACCAAGGCGCTGGTAGGGAGGTGCTCGGAAGCCCCCTCGATTAGTGTTATTCAGCCCCGATCCACCAGGAGCGGGAGAGAGCAGTCCAGGTGGGGGGAAATCCGCCGTCAGGGGTGCGGGAAGGGACAACCGGCGGGGGCGTGTTTGAAGTCCAAGAGATAGACCTCTTGCCACGGGGAGGGGGGGGAGCCCCCCGCGCCCAATTACAGCCGCCTAGAAGGGCTCATTTCAAGCCTTTTTCACAAGCCATCTGCGCACAAACCCAGTTTGGATTCGCACACTGCTGCCACCGTTTCTCAGGATAATAACAGCGCCGTGGGGGTACGACGGGAGCCTGGGGTGACACCGCCACGCCGCCGATTCGGGGGGGGCGGGGGGTGCTGAGATAATGGCGCCATACGAATTCAGAATATTCATAATATGTCCGCGCAACGCAAATATCCGCCATGTTCGTTTGGCATGGCAAGGCAATGAGGGAGTGGGGGTGGGTTTAGGGGGGTGGACAAAAAGACACAGTTACAATCACGGGAAACTCAAAGGACCCCAGAGGTCTGCATGATCTTGAAAGGGTGAATAAGTAAATAAATAAATAAAAAGATTTCCACGTTCCTGTTAAAAATAAATGTAATTAATTTAATGCAGACACTGGAAGCGCAAGTCATAAAAAAAAATCAGCTCCCTGCTGATTATTAAATAAATAAATAATATCTCACACGCAGGCACACACACACACACACACAAAAAGGCTCTCATTACCATTGCAGCTGGGTGTCACGTGTAAATCCCTCCCCCTCCCCCTCGGCACAGGGAATGTGTGTTCCAGGAAGCAGGCTGAATTAATTGGCAGCACCGAGCCGGGTATCATTACCGGGCTCTTGTCGGTGATGTAGCCGTGAGCTGCGCTCTATTCCCTGCCTGCGTGTAGCGCACAGCCCCCGCCTGGGTCCTGGGTATTCGCCCAGACCCCGCCGTTGTCTGTCAAACACCAGATTACCTGGCCGCACACCCCTACCTACCTAATGACCTCACCGTGTGCTGATGTGGCCTTCCCTTAGTGTGGGCTATCCCCGGCGCTCGGCTGCTGTGAGCTCCGCCCCCATCTCCTGGCCGCCCAATCCCAGCCTTCCCATGCGCAGCCCCCCCCTCCCAACATTTCTCTCAGAGGGTTCAGATTGATGCTGGTCTCTCACCTGTGCATTCTGGATCTGGATAGTCCCCTGGGGTAAAGCCTGGGTTAGCACCTGCCCCTGTGATGTCACCATGGTAACCGGCTGATACAAGGCCCCACCTGGTTGGGAGAGCATCACATGTCACGTACATCAGCTCTCTCAGTTTTGACAGACAATGTTGGGGGGGTAAATCCTGAAAAAACATGGCGGGCATGCAACACTAGTCTAGGTAATGTGGGTCACAAAAGCTGGACAATCCCTGGCCTACGGGGACAAAGGAGAACGGCCAATAAGAGAAGAATCTGCAGGGAGTCTGCACACCTGACACCACTTGTGAGTTGATGGTGGTCATGGCAACGCTGCCTTGCTGCAGGGCGTTGCCGGGGACCACGATGCCTGAGGGGTTGACAGAGCTGGAGACTGCTGTCATGGACGGGGTGGAGCCTTGCAGTAGGTCCTGCGGGGCAGGGAGTGGGGGGGGGACACAGAATAAAAGAGTGTGTAGAAGCTCCACTGAAGCCTGCCTAGATTCACCTCAAATAAGAGCAGAGGAAGCCAGGGAAAACCTGACAGCGTCCCAGCACAAACAAACATCCCAGCATTTAGAAACAGAGCCAGACTGCTGTTTGTATAAATATTCCATGCTCACAGTCGAAATAATTTTGACAAAGCCATATTTATGTAATGCCACAGTCAAATGCCAAAATTAAAAATATTTCCTGCTTCTTTTATTAAACTCAAAGAAAAGGTTAGCATCTGAAACACTATCATTTCTTATTTTTGTACCTACAATCTGAATTTCTTCTGGCCAACCTACAGGGGTCAGAGCAGTTAAGTGAGGTAGATATAAATATCAAATATCAGGTAAAATATTACTTTCATGTAACTGATGTAGATGGTGTGCAATCATTTAGGTTTTATAACAATGAGTGAAGCTGAAATTGCTCTCTGGGAAATATGTAAGGAATCTGTGAGAATTCCTGGTAAAATTATGAACATCAATATCAATGCATCGACTTTGGCTCTGCCATCAGAGGTGTTAGAGTGTCCCTTAAAGCACACACGGCCTTTTTTGTAAGACGTATGGAAAGTGCAGTTCAGCTGCATTCCCCTTCAGACAGATTCCAGATTATCCTTCCCTTCAATAAACCTGGCACCACTCTGCGAATGTAGCCATCCTGCGTGGACATGAGAGTGATATTCTCGTCTTAAAGAGACAGACTCGCACATTACAAGAAGCCGGCTGCCATTATCACTGTACACAACACAACTCTAAGTGAAAGGAGAGACATCGCTATGCAGCAGACAGCGGGAAAGGAAGGTTTCTGTCCCATTCATTCCTTTCCTCTTTATTTCCTGGAACGATATGTCAGAGTAAGAATTACCTGTGCATTTCTGACAGCAGGAAAGCAATTCACAATAATTTCCATGTGTCCACTTCATCAAAGTCAAATTCATTGTCATTGTGCACTTGCACAATCAAATGGGGAAGTCGGCTCTCCTAGTGCAAGCATCACGCACAGTAATAGTAACACACACACATAGATACACATATGTATAAAGTGGATGCCAAGGTAAAAGATTTCCAGTCAGAAAGCTCTCAGCCTCTGCTTGTGTGGGGGGTGGGAGGGGGTCACTTTGCCTCTTTGTGTGCACAAAGATAAAAAAAAAAAAAACTCTCCATTCTCATGGAAGATCTGCCAGTGAACATCAAGATGCTGAGTGTGACCTGGGCTTGGGGGAGGTCAGAGGGCAGCTGGGGGACACACAAAAAAACAACGTGCCCAGATCGACCCCCACTCCCCACACAGACCCGCTCCTTTAAAAGGCCACCGCATAAACGTACGGATGGTTTACAGCTCCACGTTAAATTCCCGTAAAACTACCGCCACCCAGAGAATTTCGATTGCAGGTTCGTCTCCGAAGCCTCCTGCATCGAATGCAAAATAGACAATTTCTGCTTTTTTAGTTTGGTTATAAAAAGCAACCTGAGCAAAAAATAAACTGCGTTCAAAATACCTAAATCCCCCTTCTGGTCGTCGCCTTACTCTGACAGTGCTTTCATTCGAGTATCCTATAAAATATGAGAATGAATCTAGAAAGCGTTCTCTGTGCGTCTGGTTTATACACGTTGCCGAAGGCAACATATAGCAAACTTTCTGTAGTTTGAAGTACAACAGTGCTGCTGTCCCATCAGCATCTGACCATAGGAAATATTTATATATATATATATATCATCCACAAATTACAGAACTTCAGGAGAATGTCGATTTTGATCTAGCCCGCATCTCCCACATCACAGTGGCTTTGAACTCTTCGTAACCGACGCCGCATTCGAGTCACTTGTCCTGTCGAGGAAGACTCACCTGCTGTAGCCCGAGGGAGGTGTGGGACGGGGAGTAGGGCCCCCCCAAGTCGTTCCTCAGCAGGTTGTCGCTGTGCATCTTAGTCTTGAGGCAGGTGATGTAGCGGTTGCAGAAGTCTTTGCAGAGCTCGTTGACCTTCTCCAGCTCCAGAAGGTGGATCCGCAAAACCTGGATGGCCTTCACCATCTGAGGGCACAGAAAACTCCGGGTTCGAGCCAGAAACCACAAGATTGTTTTAATGAAAATTCAGCATTGTTCATTTTTAATGAGGTGCACGAATTGCAAAGCAGTTTTGGGCAGTGGCGACTAAGTAAATGAGCAAAAAGAGAGGGGTGCTGAGGTTGGTGCGTATGGGGTGGCCTGAGGAGCTTTACAGGGGCTGATCACTAGAGTCACATGGGGAACCTGAATGGCAGGATGATGACCAGACGTCCTTTGGATGGGTAGCCGCGATGCGCAGGGACACTCCAGCAAATGAATCTGATATACATCACGCTGAATCCGGGACCCTTGGAAAGCCATCAAATATCATTTAAATTCTCCCCCCGCCATCTGAATCACCAGCCCACACTTTAACCCGGAAGATCAGTGGTCATGCTGGAGCTTCCAGAAACTTCCGTAACCTCCGAAAAACCCCAGAATGCCACGATGGCCCAGCGCATCAGTCAGAGGATGTGAAACCATGAGGTTGGATTTTTGAGCAACCCTCTAGCCCCCCGCCCCCTACATAGTGCACTTTCAAAGTCACTACTGAAGGGCACGGGGACGGCGAAAACGGGGTAAAAAAAAAGGGCCTCGCCAAGGAGGGGTAAATCTGCCAATTATCGCAGCTCATTTAATCAGGGCTCGGTGCCATCTCTCCAGGCATCGAGGCGCGCAATATAACTGTCCCGTGGAAGAGTTACGGCGTGCGGGGGCTGCCCGTGGCCCGCGTCTCGTAAAGCACACAGATGCAGAGTTAATTGACTGCATGCCACGCATCGGACGAGCGCCCCCGTAATGATGAACGCTGACCTTTTTCCATCTTTTTCTTCCCTCCCCAGTTTCTAATTACAGCTAAGCCCTCACGAGAAGGAGGGTGGCAGGCAGCAGAAAACGAAAAAAAAGCAAAAAGAAAAAGATGAGTATCACCGCAGGACGTCAACCTCGGGCTGTTTGGGTCCCCCGCCGTACCAGAACGCAGCGCTGGTGTTGTCAGGTTTTGGATGGATGCTCTGGACAAGACTAAGGTGTAGGGTGGGCTGGCCCAAATCAACCGGAGCTTGGCCACCAGGGGGCGCCACAGACACGGCGGTCTTTGGAAGGTAAGGATTACCAGATTGTCCAGTTCAGGATCCTCGCTGAAGAATGGCTTGTGGTCCTGCTCCTGCTGGTGGACGAAGTTCTCAATGTCGACATCAAAGCTGGCCGACGTGATGCACTCAGACCCTTGCGTGGCCTGCTCGCACTTCTCGAAAAGCAAGGCCAACAGCGGGAACAGGGGGTGTCTGGGGAAGGGGTTAAGCAAAAAATCAGCACGATCTACCTAATATAAACCTTTGACACCTTTATGTCAATTTACTGGTGATAAACTGGTATTAACAGTACACTGTACTGGTTAATTGACACTATTGCCCAAAGTGACTTGCAACTTAGCGCTTTGCCAGTATAAACAGCCTGGTGTGTTAGCAATCCAACACAACACGCTTTTCTCAGTGGGGAAACAGCCAAGTGCTGAAACTTCCAGCCATGGAAGTCATGAGTCACATGGGATAGAGCTTCTTGAGTTTTTTTTTTTTTTCCACGCTACACAATATGACACTCGAAATCTACCTGACAACACAGAAGAATTAAAATACAAAACGGTGACATTTGCATTAATAGCATAACTTTCAACCTGAGTAGTGGGGAAGGTCGCCCCCAACCCAAAATATCAGATTCACCCCTGACCATCGGTGTTCACCTGGGGGAGGGGGGTATGCCTCACTTGTCTGTGCATGGGGGGGGCTAGTGAGCAGCCAGGCACCTGGGGACTCAGAGAGAGAGCCCCCGCTCTGGCTGTAATGCATCGCTCTCATTTGCAGCCTCTAATAGCCCGGTATATTAGACTCTAATCTGCCTGATCCCAATTTAATGCGGCTCCCTACAGGCGGCGTGACAGGAATACTAAGCAGGTCGGTCTGTGCAGAACGGTGATCCGCATTCCCTCCGGACTCGTTCTGGGGCCCGGCGAACTCCACCCCCCCCCCCCCCCCCACACACACCCCTATCATCCTGACCCCCCAGCCCCAATAGCTGCTAGACCTTGATAAGACAGGCATCTGTCTGCCCTTTGACTCCCAAAGTCACCATCAGCTACCATTTCTCTGCTCCGCTACATGCTACAATCTCTGCTCCTTCCAGCCAGCCCATCTATGGTAACCTGACCTGAGACGGAACCAAATAAACTGCTGAAAGTCCAGGAATTCAATGAGGAACCTAAGCAAGGGTTTGTACAGTGGGCTAGAGGGGCATTTACCCCAGCTGAAAGCTGATTGGCCCCCAAAGTGACCCTCCCCTGTCACTCAGCAGTCAAAACATATGATTGACTAAAAATAAGATTGGCCCCTATGGTGGTGACTCCTCTTATGCCTCCCCCCCCCCCCACCTTACAAAAAATCCAAGGATTGCTCCTGAACATGATAGTTCTGGGTGGGATAACTATTTTCTCCCCTCAGCACTGACCTGGACCTATGCACAGATCATTCATTATTTTTCACACTGCCGCTACACTGAGATTACCTGCATCCACATTAAATCAATGAATATAAACAGGCTCCAAAGCTAGTACCCGTGTTGCTCTTCAACCAAGCCTAACTTCTCAGCCCAGGGAACATTTCAAGGGTGGGGTTTCCTTATATGGTCTTTGAATGTCCAGCTTTTATACCATAGCGAATATCTTTCAGAACTTTTATACCTGCATTTATATGCTCACACTATTTCATTATATTGGCTAGGTTTTGGAAGGAAAAAAAAATCTCCAGAGAGGATAAGCAGGCAATGAATAGCACTACGGCTGAGAGGAGGTTTAAGTCTGTGTACCTCCCCTCTCACCCCCACCTCCCCCCACATACCCTCAGCCCCCGCCCCCATACCCTATGTCCGCTCCGAAGGTTTAAATCCTCGCAATTTTTACAGATGGATAAGAGCTTAAACGTAGGTGCCGAGGGCGAAGCTAATCTGTTAACCTTTGAAAATTCGCGGCCCAGACCATTGAAAATTAAAAGCTTAATGCTGTTTATCCCTGACCCCGGCTCACCGGCGCTCGCGCCCGTCGGCTCTCCGGGGCCTGAGCCACGGGCCGGGCACGTGAGCGCGCCGCAGACCTGCGGGCCGGCGGAGAATTAAAACCCTGTAGCCTGCCGGATACAATCCGCATTATCTCCGTACAGCCCGGTAACTGTAGGCACCTCTGAAAATGTCGGATGCAAAAAGGCGAGGACCGAATATCTAAACCCCAAAAAGTAAACACCACTCTTTTCTAGAACTCAGCTTTACGATATTTTGCTTTCATTTTTTTGAGGTAAGAGCATATTCGTCTCTGCGGCAGGTTTTTGGAAATACCGTCTTTTGTTATTGGGAGACAGGGCTGGTGAAACACAAAAACCATACTAACTTTAGTTTTAACGCCACTACTCCGTCCCAAATAGGAAGGAACAAACCAGTGCAGGTGAATTATTCTTAAAAAATCGAGGTTTACAATAGCAAACACATTAAGTAGATTCTTAACTTGCACAAGACTAGAGCCGTCGCATAACAGAGCAGTGCCCCAGGACCCCTGATTTTGCGCTGGGGGCGCAGGAGTATCTGCACTGCGGTGGACGGAGACGACTAACTTGGGGGTTGTTAAAGTCCCCCCGTAAAATTCAGATTTACGGGACCGGAGAGGGACCAGCTCAGCACGCGGGCGCCCGCCGCGTGACGGCGAGCCGTGAATCAAAGCATGGGGTCGCAGCCCTTGACAGAGAGGTCGCAGTTAAAATACGCATGAACAAGTCCGAGTCTTTTTTTCCTCCCCCGACACTTCTTACTTAAACCTTGCAGATTTTTGGCTAATAGTCAAATTAATAAATCTGTATTGCATCTTAAGTCTTAAATCTTGTTAGAATCTGGTTTTATACTGATAATAACTGCATTTGGGTCCTCAGGCTTCTCTGAATATGTAAAAAACACTGAGTTTTGAACATTTTCCCAAGCCTTTAAAGCTATGCCTCTCCTAGGGGCTGCGGTTAATTTAAAATTCCTCGGATTTTTACAGGGAAGACGGCTCGCCGCGTGTTTCCTTTCCCAATCAAGCGTGCAGCGCACCTTTTCTCCTTATTTAGAGCCCAGTAAGCGGCAATCCCTGCTGCGTTTCTGACAAACCTCTCCCTCCCCTTGCCCCCGCACCCTAACCCCACCCCAGCCCTTCCCCGCAGCAGTGCGTCTTCTACACCCTCAACGATCATGTGCGGTGGGAAAGAGCTGGGATATAGCGCCCTGAGTGACCCTCATTGGTGAACTGGTCATCCCAGCATCTTTTGACTCGGAGCCCAAACACAGCATTATCGCCTCCCATCCTGGCTGCTACCCCCCAGCGTCGCGCCCTGTGCTGATTGCGACATAACCCCCACCCCACGACCTAGTCCACAATGAGTACATGTAAGATTGGTAGATCACAAGAATCCGCACCAGAATCACAAAAAAATTCCAGATTTCTTATCACGGCTGTTTTCTTATTTTCAGTACTTCTGAGTGCCTCTAGTTTGACTAAATGCATGCAATTTCATATAGGTTGCGTAACTATTAAATGAAAACTTTAACTCAAATACTGTACATTATTCAACCAAAGCTTTGCACGCGTGTAATAAAACATCATGTTTACTGCCATATTACCCGCATCTAAATTCCATACATTAAATGTAGGCTACATAATTGTTGATTTCCAGAACGCTATTGACTTAATGCACTGAATTAATCAAGTGAACAAATTACTTCCTTAAGTAATTAGGATTCAATGGCGCTGAAGGTTATCTGTGTTTTATCTCCACATTTTATTTTGCCATTTGCCATTTAGCCATTTGGTGTGTTTTCTCAGAGACAGTTATCTAGAAGGCTTCTTCTTATTGCATCTTCTCATTGCTCTTTTTAGTAAATATATGCGCAGTTACCCCGAAATTAACTTGAAATAATGACTGTTACTAAAAAGGGAAACGCATAGCATCATAAAGTTCCTACGACAATTTTGTTCAGGTGTCATTTATGAAGGTTAAAAAAGTTAAAAATAAGATAATAAACCAGGTTTCTGGGAGGTGGAAATGCAAAGTAATGCATCAAGAACGTGAACTATTTTAATTCTGTGAGGACATTACTGGGAACGCTTGGCGGGGGAGAACGTAAACAGTTTATGGTACATTACAGAGGCTTTCCCGAGCAGCACCAAATGAATCCCTTTCCCCCACGGTTCCTAGGATAGACTTTCCGCAACTCTGCTTGCCTCTAAATCTCCCTGACACTCCATACTTTTCCCTCGACCGGTTTTAGGGGCTCCTTATCCCGATTCCGGGCAAAACGTCCTGATGCACCATTATTTCTATTCTGTCGATCTTTACTTCTTTTTAAAATTGAATAGCTCCACACGTTCGTGTTTTTCTTGATAATCAGGAAGCTCCTGTATACCAAACCTTTACACTTCTTACAGTTTTACTTTCCTCTATGAACCCCTTTTATGCCTTACTTAAAAGCACCATGTTACGTGCCACGATTGAGAACAGCGATGCCCCCAAAATGTGGCTTTAAAGTATGCGGTAGCTGGGATCTTTGCATGCTCTCAGTCACTGGCCGGGAGCCCCTCCAAGAGCTAAAGCCCGCAAAGGACCGGTCTCAAATGGAGCCCCTGCAGCACAAAGCCCTGCTGTTTTCGGCTGTTTCTTGTCAAACACCCAGTACCTCAGTGCGACGCCACCACTCATCCCGGAGCTTTATTTCTGAGGCAGGGCTTTTCGGAGATGCAAGCAGCCGAAGTTTGCCTTTGGGGCTGAATTATGGCACTCTCCGTGCACAAATATAGGGACTATCTTCCCCTCTTCTCACTCCCCGTACTGTAGAGTCATCTGTTTTACTCTGTAAATCGCATTTTCCTCTTTTTAATACCATCCATCCCCAATACATACGATTTAGTTTTCTGTATCAGGAAGTCCAGCAACTTTGAAGATGATCTGCTACTGCATACAATACAGTTGCTACTGCTTCATCATACCTTTGCAGTCTTACGTGTCATTCATGAAATAAACACCAAAATAGTTCTGTTGTCCAGCAATACCTTTACTAAACGTGTTTCCATGAACATAATATGAACCATTCCAAACAAGATTAGACCTCTTGCCACATATTTAGTATAACACAAGATTAATCTAAACATCAGTGGGATTGCAGTGGTTTTTATTTCTGGTAATTACGATAGGCCTAACTTGCGTAGATTACGTATTTAATAATTAAGCAACTCCATCCTAAAATGTAGCCTTTGCTCAAGCCTTCAATCCAGGCAGTTAGGGGGAAAACTGACGTGGGCATAATGTTAAACGAGATTTAAATCAAAGCTGTCCAAAAAACTACTTTCTCCCATCACCTTCAAAGATTAAAACAAGATTTGAGGCAGTGCAGTTTCACGTAAAAAAATTCACTCACTCTCTTTTTTTAAATTACCATTTCAAAGAACCATGTGCATATGTGACTTTACTGTTCGTTATTTTATCGTAAAATACAAGTGCCAGGGGTTTAGAAAAACGTGTTATCGGGGATCACAGCAGTAATGTCTTATAACCCAAATTTGATTGACAGCCACTACAGTTAACAGCAAATTCATGCTCTGGGTAAAAACAGGAGCGTTGACATAATCTGTGAGTTGTCTCTTTCTTCTATAAGCACATTAAATTTTGCGCAAAATGTTAAATCTTTGGAATCCCCTTCAACACTTATTTAAGTGGGGATTCCAAAGATTTAACATTTTGTGCAAAATTTAAACTGCCAAATACAGTAATAAGATAGACCTATTCTCCAATGACATCTTGCACGCTCACGTCATCCTCGAAAAATCGATTAGCGGGCATCAAGACCGAATTAGGAAAAGCAAAGATGAGCAAGCAGTTATAATTATATATATTTGTCTTCTAGAAAAACGCCCCTTTAATTTCACCTTGTGCGTTCCATACACCTACCTTCTGAAACTTGCTGTTTCACAGCAACCGCTCCCCTTATGTTCATATATCTTGCGGTGAAATAATTACTGAACATCGTGCTTTTGGGGGGACTTTATTTGGACACCTTAATATGGCGTTTAATGCTTGCATAATGCAAATTTCCACGTATCTCCCGTTATTTTCACGTTGCATGTGATGCTTAAAATGGAGGAAGACCGTCAGCCTGCCTTCTGGATACTCCCAACATTTAGATGTGTCACGAGCAATGAAAACGAAGAAAAAAAAAACCTTTGAAAAGGCTCATTTTTATTTTATCTTCCCTCACTGCTAGGAAGTGCACGGATGGTTTGGAAGCAGGCAGCAGCTGAAAGCAGCACAGCACGTAAGGGCTGAGTCTGTGCTTTTCACCGCCTACGGCCACCCTTAGGCTGGCAGCCGACATCAAAGAGAGGCTGGTATCTCAGAGGAGCTTAGAAATTCAGCCCCAGGCTTGGCAAGGCCTTCACACCGTTTGCCTCGAGGTGTGAAGTGGGAAGGGGTGGGGGGGTGTGGAGGGAAACCACGAGGTACAACAGAACGGGGGGGGAGGGGGGGATTACAGCAAAACCGCAGAAGTCCCTGCATAGCTTTTTTATACATGCAGCAAAATGGGGACAAACTACTTATAGCACAGGAACACACACCCCTGCGAAAATTAATCACCAAATGAACCAAACAGCGTCTTCTCCTCCTGCATTGACTGATTCATTAATGAGGTGTTTTAACCTTCAAAAACTGTCAGGCTGCTGGAGGTTGTCTGGAGTTGTGTCTCCCCTCATTTACCTGTTTGTGCCTGTTTTAATCGTAGAAAAGCTGACCAGTCGCATTTCCACAAGTACTGAGAAAGGAAGTGGCTGCTTTAGGTCAAAGTCAAGTGGACATTAAATCTTCCAAGCTTGGATTTTTGGCCTGAAAACACACCTCCAGTAAAGGAACACAAAGCGATGGCATGAAACAGGAAGAGCGTCACACTCACAGCAGGAAGACCCGCCTCCTTACCTGTAAACGGCTCGCTTGTCTGACTCCAGCTGGGCCTGCGGGTCCAGAGTCACACTGACTGGCGTGGCCACCGCCCCAGAGGATGCTGGGAGGTGGACCGGCTGGGTCTTAGAGTTCTGTTGCGTGGTGCCCGTCATCTAGGGTGTGAAATGATGCAGGGGGGCTGTTTGGTCAGCAAATCTCACTCTATCCACCCAGCCCACCTTCCTCTGTAAGGCATGCAAGACTTTAAATTTCCTACACTGTTTGAAATGCATTATTTAATACGGCTTGATGAACCCTTACATTTAGGGTTGTGGCTCTGCGAGTTAGGATGTTGTGCTAGTGATCGGAAGGTTATTGGTTCAAATCACCATTAGGTCCTTGACAGGGTTGAAGCTAGGGGGCGGGGGGCCCTGGGCTAAAGTCATTTTCAGGGCTCTACCAACAGCATAAAATGCTGCTGTAGCAACCAGAAAAAATAATTTTGAGACCCAGGTGTAACCCCTACATAAGTCCAGCTTTGGTCCTTGAGCAAGGCCCTTAGCCCCAACTCCTCCAGGGCAGGGGAGCTGTAAAGGGGACGATTAAAGGGCTCCTGCCACAAAAAAAATGTGGAACATAATTGAACTGGTCTGGGTTGGGGTCCCAGTATGATATGCTTTCATGGGGCCCAAAATCTCTAGTAACACCGCTACTCCAGACACTGGCTGACCTTGCTTTGTCAATTGTATGTCACTTTGGATAAAATAGTGAAATAAATAAGTGTAATGAGAATGTAAAAGACGTGACTATTTAAAAATGAAAAAGAATGAAGTCACAATGTTAGGACGGGAATTTCAATTCAGGAGGGTGCTGGAAATCTGGCTAAATAGAAAAATTCCACAATCATGGCACTCGCCGTGGAAATCAAGTGTGGTTTGTCCCGTGGATGTTCACCAGCTCTGTCAGCCTGTGATTGCTGAAAGGGAAAACGTATCCCTGTACAGTTACCTCCATTTAGGGGAAAACATCCCACGTTCTGCTTTCATCCTAGAAATCTTATCGGACTTCTACTTCCACCCCACCAATACCCTCACTGCCCATCACCTCTGCGCTTTTGCAGATTAAGAAACTTCATTGTAACTGGAGGGGGAGAATGTGTACTGTGGTGTGAGTAATTCATTTCGGTCTTATCTTTTGAGAAGAAGCGAAAGAACAGCTGGTGAATGGAATAAGTTTTTCAGAAAATGAGTCATATTTTCATTCGAAGAACAAGTCCACCAAAAATTATATATATATATATGTATATATATATACATATATATACATATATATATATACATATATATATGTATATATATATATATACATACACACACACATTTGTGTGTGTGTGTGTGTTTGTTACTTTTTTTAAAGACTTCTCTCTGACATTTGACTTGGGTAATCCCCCCGACCTGACTTATCATATTTGGTAATATTTACTTTGACACCCATGACAACCCAATAAATAAACGCCTGTCCATACTGGTTGTCTAAGCCAGTTGTCTGGCCACAGCATGTCAAAGAGAACGTAGCGTATCTGCCCCGTACCTTCCTTTAAAATGCTTATCTTTTCACCAAGGGTCTGCAGCCATAATGGATTGGAACAGATCTGAGTTCTGTCTGCATATTTAAAGGTGTTTCACATTAGAAGGGACACAGTCCCTAAATCCAAGCTCTTCAAACTTCCTGTCGCGGTCAGAACAACACTTGCCTTATTCGTCATGGCAAACTGAAAGACCCTGTCTGAGTGTCTCTATTCTCTACGTCGAAGACCTTCACTGTATTTGACGGCACATAATATTGCTCCTTTAGCAATGTATCTCTCTCTTCCCCTGCTCTCTCTGTCTCTCTTCCTCTCTCTCATTTGTGATTAGCCTTTGGAATCAAGCCCCCTCCCCCTCCAACACTACACCCCATTCCTGTCTGAGGAGGAAGCTTCAAGTCTTAATCCCGACTCCAAATGGGAAATAAATTAGCTTCTTCATACTTAACTAGCTCTCATCTGCATTTGTTATATTCCTGCTGCTCAGGATTCTCTCCCCGGCACTAATCCCCAGAGCGGAAGGAGACGGTTGTACGGATGGGGGGGTGGGGGGGGGGTGGTTGATCTGAGGAACCTTCTCTCCTACCCTCCCCTCCCTTCTCCCCCCACCTCCTGCAGCAGGAAGGCAGGATAACGGGAGGTGCTAAAAACAGGCGCACTGGGTGTCGTGGCACCCCTGTGCGGCTACTGTCCTCCGCTTCAGAGGCCATCCTGATTGTCCATTGTCAGAGACAAAGGAAGCCACGGCAACACGCCCCGCATGGCTCCTTGTGGACACATTCCAGAACTTCCTTCCCCTTGCCGCTTCGGGGAAAGGCAAATAAGATACCCGATGTGAGGTCCTGCTTTTGTGAAGACGTGGGCGTTCTCTCTAATTGTCTCAGGAGTGTTCGGCACAATGGCCGCAGCGAGCAAACCCGTATGTATGGGGACAAAATCAGCTCAGGTTCAACTGATCGGCCATCCAGAGATCTCCGCAAACCCTCACCTGTTGGCTCTCCTGGTACGATGGTGGAGGAACACTCTGTGTGGCCATCATTGTCAGTGCTGGTGCTGGGGACACATGTTGCATCATGGGATAGCTTCACATTGAGACCCTGAGGGAGATTAAATGATTTCACAATTATTTGATTATTATTATTTTTTTCATGCTTTCAGCTAAAATGTACTGTGTATCCACAAAATCCTCATTTAGTATAGATTGAAATCCTCTATTTCACATTTGTACAAACAGAGTAGAATTTTATTGGGGCTGTCATCTTTTTGGTGATAACAGTCAAGGAACAAATGTGGTTCATTTGCACTTAAAATGTCCCCAGATGTTCTGATCATGAAAGTCAGTAAGATCTATCTCCCCCTGAGCAATTTCAAGACCCACCACCAGGTGTTGCTGTGATGTAATAATGAGCAAAGACAAGCCTGCTGGAACTGAAGTTGGCATTCCCCATCTTCCCATCATATACATAGAAAAAAATTCAGCTTTCTCAACTAATGTCCATTTAGACAAATTATTTAAAGAATAACAGTCTTACTCTGTAGCGGTATAAGGAGATATAAACTGTATAAGGAGATGTAAACTGACAACACCTCAAAAAACAGTTATTTAAAAGAACTGGAATGATGAGTTTGAGTATGAATTGCTAGCCAACACAGGTATATCTGCATACAATGACTACACAGTCTCTAAGATGCAAACAGCTCCCTACAGGCTAACAGCCCAAACAGGGTGTTCCGTCGGCAGGCGACTGGGTGATTACATGGCACAGCGAATCACGGCCTTATTAAAGCTGTTGTCATTCGGCTAATTGACATTCTGTAGAGCAGAGAGCTCCCAGTAGGTTGTGGCACACTCGCCCATAATTGGCCCAGACTCAGCGTCCTGGGAGTCCGGGGCAGACAGCAGACACACAGAGTAATCCACATGGACGTCACTCTCATCGGAGAGCACCAGTTGTCTCCACGCCCTAGTGCCCCATCCTTCCGGAAATTTCTGTACCACCTTTCCCCTTTTACTGGCCTGTTTGTGCATCCTTCCCAATATAGCGACCTCTCTGTTGAGTCTATGGAGAACGGACTTTCCCAATTTTGGACCTGTCCATGTAGACTTTATCTGTCCATTATTTGTTCATACACACAAAAACTGACAACTACTGACCTTCTCACAACTGCTGACTTCAAAGAGTGATGTGTCTATACCATTATACATGTTAGCTTATGTGAATCCTCAATTTACAGGATGCCTACCATCCTACTAACACAAGTTCACTTTCTCCCACACACACAGGCCCCTGATTGATAGGTTGCCCTACTTGGCTAGATAACATAGTCAATCTTCTTGAAGCAAACCCTCCTATACCTCCTTCACAGATAAATCAACAATCTTAAGCTCTCTTGAGGAAACCACGTGATGTTCTACTGGTTTTTAAGATTCGAATACTATTGAGCGATTCTTGCGATTTTATAACCCAATTTTTGAGTATATTCACATCGCTTGCTGATTACACAATAGATTGATTCAAAAAGAGCATCATGTATTTGTTACACCTTTCTCCTTTGAAGAACTCATTCCTCTCATCTGCTCTGTTTTACTGTCATGTCATTCTGAGCAGTAAAGTTAAATTAATCAACTATTTAGCTCTGTCCTCCAAAGACAATTGAGATCAGACTGGTGGATTTACTCCAGGGTTACTTTTTCAATAAAGACAGATTTACCTTGTATGAGACAGTAATCATAGCTGAAATATTCTCCTCATAAATTTGCATGGCTTCATTTTCCTGCTCAGAATTACAGCCCTACCACCCCTCTGACAGAACCTTATTAACTCTGCAGCATGGAGAGCGTGAAGCTTCAAAGCTGCCTCATCTGACCTGAAGGATGAACCCCAAGGAGACGAAAATGTGTCCTACTGGGCCCCCACCTTTGTTTTGATCTGATTTAGAACAGCAGACACACACCTGTGTTGCACTTCTCCTAGGAAATGCTGGTTTCTTGGGTCAAATCTTTTGACACTTCTTCCCTCGCGTCAGTCACACATGGAGAGGCAAGGCCCCCTTTGTGATCTTGGCTCTTGTGGTTACAGTGAATGTCCAAAGTCAGACAAAGCCATGTGTATCACTTAAGGAAACTTGGGGATATGGGGACCGTTGCTGGTATTTGGCACAAGAAGCCTGCGAATGTTGCTCAGTGATGTGCTTTGAGGAACCACCCCAGTTTTCCGCTAGGGGCCATGTGTCTTCCTGGCTACTGGGGGAAGAGCTCTCCGCCTCAGCCTCTTTTGAGGGTTGAGCCGACGTCAGCCACCTGAGGAGACAATGACCCATTACACTCTCACCAAGTTCTGGGGTGGGAGCCAGGAGAAGCTCCCACTGCCTCCATGGCTGAAGGCTCCATCACCCCGAGAAACAGGAAGTAAGCAGAAGATACGGCCTTCCCCCACAGACTGGAGGCGTTCCTCACCACTGAGCTCATCCCAGTGCTTGGCAGTGGCTCGTGGAAAAGGTTGGGGGTGTCCAAGAAAAATGACTATCTATTTTAGGACCGCGAAAACAGCATCAAGGTAACTGTATCACTGATTCTATCAGCGGAACGCCGTCCTCTTCCCAACACTCCAGCTCGGAATTCTCAGAAATACCTGAAAGTTTGCACTACAGTCAGGCTTGCGGCGTATTTGATTTCACAAGCTGATTTCAAATCACACAAATTGAAGAGTTTATGCATGTGATTTGTGTACTGATTGCTCACTCCATACTGTCTGCAGTTGAAAGGCATCTTCTATCTAATCGGCCCTCGTTTTAATTGCAAATCTGTGAGTGTGCGTTGGTAATTAAATGGAAAATTACACATTAATTGATGGGACTAAAGATAAAGTGATTCCAATTATTGGTAGGTATTTTCATGGGCCTCAGCAGTCTCACTCCCAGGTGAGCTGCCACACCCAGGCAGCGCCGCAGAGATGCAAAGCATTTCCCATTTAGGTGCAAATGCATTGGACCTTTCAATGAGCAGATCCTGAAGGCCGAACTTCTCAGTGGGCAGATCCTGAGAGTGGGACCTCTCAGTGAGCATATCATGAGAGCTGGACCTCTCAGTGAGAAGATCCTGACAGCTAGACCTCTAGATGAGAAGATCCTGTCAGCTAGACCTCTGGATGAGAAGATCCTGACAGCTAGACCTCTCGATGAGAAAATCCTGAGATCTGGACCTCTCAATGAGCATATACTGTACTCGAGATGGTGATCATGATTCAGATTCCAGTGCTTTATTGCCATTGTTGTTTCCACAGCAATGAAATTTAAAGGTGCATCCTCTCCAGTGTCACATCAAAACAGTAGACAGATTAGTAAACAAAAAACAAATGACCTGTAAGTCTACCAATGTATAGGACACACTGCTCAGTAAACATTAAAATATGTTGGTGCTCCTTGTCCCTATAAACAAAATGCCATTATTGTTGTCACATCATTTCACATTGAGATGGTGAAACTCATCTAAATGAAGTTGTTCTCCTGGGGAGGACACTGCCCTTCTGTGATTTGGAAAGCACTTCCATGATGCACCCTTAATGGGGAAAATACCAACTGTACAACTAATAGGAGAAATGTCAAACGTTTTTATTATCAAAAAGCTCATTTCTAGCTACATCAAAATACCAAATTCCACTGACAGTCTTCAAAATGTAACAAATATTTCTGCAGTATCCTAACAAAAGGTGGATGGCATGTGGGGGTAAATGACAAACTCATGTCATCTGAGGTGTTTAAAAAAAGGATTTCTGTTAACTAAGGCATTTACGGCACGCTGTAATTCAGTTGTCAAACTGTTTTCACAAGTTATCATTTCATCGAGACTGTAACCTAATTAACTACGATGGTATTTTAATCTTACATAAAGGAAAATTCACCCGGATTTTATCCCAAGGGATTATATGAAGTGTTATTAAAGTCTCAATTTATATGGATTGTTAGTGTTTGGGTCTATTCTGATGAAGACGTGTTAAAATGGATTGACTTGTTCTTGCGTGTCTCTTATCAAATGTTGTCAAAACTTGACTGTCAGGCTTCAGAGTGTTCTCACACAACTGAACTATCAGCCGTATCCGACAACTTACAAGGTAAAAGTCAACATCAATAATCCCTGACACAACCTCTGACCAGGGCATTTGTCCACGTGATAATGTGAGACAAGAGGTTATCCTGCAGCCAAAGCAATAGAGCATCTTCCTAACTCCACGGCTTCCCTCTCTCTCTCTCGCCCTCCTCAGTAAACACAAGGAACTGCCGCGCAGGAATCCAACAACGGAAAAGCAAAACAGAAACACAGAAGTACGGCTGCTTTGTAAAATATTCAGTTCCAGGGGGGAGCTTTGGTTAACGTTTCTTCTCATCAACATAAATCTCAATAAACCAAATGAAATAACTTTCAAGAAAAAGGTGACTCTTTAATGCCTTGTAAAAAAATAACAGTGTGCTCTTTAAGAAGTCGGCAGCGTAGCAAAAGTGCAACAGAAGTATCTCCTTACTTTGCATGGGGAGCCGCAGTACTCCGGGACAGCGATCGAGCAGGTTCGACACAAAATGGAAACAGGTGGTGCCTGGGTAGCGAGAGATACGGCAGATTGATGTTTTACTGCACAGAAACACGACCCAAATGTTTTCTGCATGTGGACTTAAAATACGCGCATAGACATCTGTTTAGGTTGTTTCGTTTTATGATTTTATTTACGATTTTATTTACGAGATAAAAAGAAGTACCTTATTCAAAATATATTGGCTATTATTATTATTATTGTCGATTTTATTATTATTAATATTATTAATAATATTTTGTCTAATACAATTGTATAGAAAATATTTTTAAGTACATGCTATATTTTGTCTCATAATATATTATATTATTCATATATAAGATATATTACATTCATTTCCCAAATCTTGACTGCTTCCTCACATCCATATTGGCTGAAGTTATTATATTTTATGAATAACCCGAATATGAAATGAACAACACTCATCAGTGTTTGCCAAAGGTACATAAGTCAGTCATTCTGCGCAGCACTTGCCTGTAGACCCGTCATTTTTATTCCCGAGATGGTTTGGC